CGCATCACCATGGTCCACAGGACCTCCGAGAGCTCTTTTTTTTGGGGGGTGGGGGGATGACAGAGGGGTCAGGCTCTGCACGGTCCCCAGGGCTGGGGGAGTTGGGGGGTGGGGGGACAACTCACGGGCATGGGCCAGGCTGAGGGCCCAGAGGCGGAGGTAGGAGGCGGTGTTGGAGACACAACCCAGGCAGTACTCGATGGTGTGGATGGCCTGGTGCATGAAGATCTCGGCAAAGTCCAGGTGCTGCGGAGACAGAGGGGACAGAGGACATCAGCGGGGGGCACGGCCACCTCAACCCCACCACCCCAGCGCCCCTCACCTCGGAGTCAGGGCTGTGCCCCCCGCTCTCCACGTCCTCCTTGGTGGCGTTGACGGAGTTGCCGGCCTCCTGCCCCTCCAGCAGCGGCTCCTGCTCCTCGGTGGTCATCTGCTGGGTGGGGACATCATCGGTGGTGAGACCCGGCCGTGTCCTCCACCCCACCTGAGATCTGAACCCCCCTCCCCACCATCACCTCAACCTTACCCCATGGTGGCCCGTCCTCGTGGCACGCTGCCGGCAGCACAGGTAGAGAGGTGTCCCCAGGAGCAGGACGGGCACTGACGCCAGCGCCAGCACCACCAGCACGGTCTGCACTGCCACCTGTGGCACAGGGACATCATCCCCTCCAGCTGAGAACGGCCCCAACTCATGACACCCCTCCCCACCCCACCAGCTTCCCCCCGGGGCTCCCCGCTTGGGCAAAGAGAAGGGTCCCCAGTTGGGTGTCCCCAATCTCGGTGGGGTGCTACCTGCCCCCGGTAGAGCGGGAGGTTGCTGTCGTTGGAGGTGAAGAGGAACATGTCGATGAAGTGGATGAGGATGCTGGGGGCCACCAGGGAGTTGGCGGCGCTGAAGGTGATCCACTTGTAGAAGATGAGGAAGACGAGGTAGCCGAAGAGCGCCAGGAGGAAAACCATCTCAGGCAGGAACTCCAGCACCAACCGGTGCCGCTGCTGGAAGTGCCTGGGGAAGGGGACATCAGCCACGCTCAACCTCACTTGTCCTCGCCCACCCCACCAGCCCAGGTCGCCTTGGCTTGACCGTGGGTGGCCAGAGCCCATGGGTGCAGCCACGGGGACTCACACGTGGTTGAAGACCCCCAAGAAGACACCAAAGCCCATGTGCACGATGCCCAGCACCACCGACATCTTCATCTTAAAGGAGTTGAGGAAGTTGAGGTGGTTGGTGGCCAAGCTCCAGATCTGCCATGGACGAGGTGGGTGAGACCCTGGGCCACCCCACTGAGAGTCCCAGCCCGTCCTCTCCCCCACGGGACACTCACTGGGTCAATCCCAAAAGGATAGGGCCCTCGGAAGACGCCGGTGACGTTGGGGTCCAGGGTGAGGGTCGGGTGGGTGGCGAGGTAGGCAGAGCTGTGGGCAGAACAAGGGGGTGTCAGCCCAGGTAGGGACCTGGGGAGGGGGTCACAGAGGGGTTGGGGGTCCCACCTCCAGGAGGAGTGGTTGGCCATGGTGGCCACGCTCCAGGCAGAGGGGAAGATGACGGTGGCTTTGCTGAAGCACTCGTTGTAGATGAAGCCGGTGTAGATGGAGAAGGCCCCCATGAGCAGGATGAGGTAGCGCCCCTCGAAGAACGTCTGCCAGATCTGGTGGGGGCAAGGGGAAGCAAACATGGCTCCTACGTCCCACACCACCTCCTCTGCCCCACACTGTCCCCCTCCCACACCACCAACCCCGCCCCATACTGTCCCTGTCCCACACCACCAGCCCCATCCCACGTCTCCAACTCCATCTCACATCTCCAAGCCCACCCCACGTCCCCAACCACGTCCCACACCACCAACCCTGCCCCAAGCTGTCCCACACCACCAGCCCCATCCCATACCACCAGCCCCGTCCCACATCTCCAAGCCCACCCCATGCCCCCAACCCTGCCCCACACCAGCCCCATCCTGCACCACCAGCTCCATCTCGTGCCACCATCCTCATCCCATGTCTCCAACTCTACCCCACATCTCCAAGCCCACCCTGTGCCCTCAGCCATGTCCCACACCACCAACCCTGCCCCATACTGTCCCTGTCCCATACCACCAGCCCCATCCCGTGCCACCAATTCCATCCTACATCTCCAAGCCCACCCCACGCCCGCAAGTCCACCTTGCCCTCAATCATGTCCCACACCTCCAAACCTGTCCCACACCTCCAACCTGGCCCCCCACCACGTCCCCCTCACCTCGTTGCTGGCCTGTCTCAGGCTGGGGCTGTTCTCATACACCACCATCCAGAGGGCGAAGAGGAACATGAGCAGCCCGTGCCCCACGTCCCCGAACATGATGGCGAAGATGAAGGGGAAGGTGATGATGGCGTAGGGCGCTGTGGGGACACAGGGACCATGTCACACTGGGCCTCCCTCCCCCAGCCCTGGGCTGTGGGAAGGGGTCAGGGCGGTTCTTACCGGGGTTCACCTCCTGGTAGCTGGCCACCCCGTAGGCATCCACGATGCTCTGGAAGCCGGCGGTGAACTTGTTGGTGCGGATGAGGGTGGGGGGACTCTCCGAGGTGGGGATGCGCTGCACGAAGCACTCCACGCTCGAGCCACTCTTGTACTGTGGGGACAGCACCCAGCACCTGACCCACCGCACCCCCCCTGCCCAGCACCCATCCCACCACAGCAGGAGGACACGGGGACACCAAGCCACCTCTGGCATCAGGACAAGGGGGCACCAAGAAATCCCTGGCATGAGAACATGGAGGCACCACACAACCCCCGGCATGAGGACATGGAGACCACCAGGCAATCCCTGGCACAAGGACATGGGGTTGTGTGGCCCAAGCATCAAGCAACCCCTGGCACAAGGACATCAGGGCACCAAGCAAATTTCCAGCACAAGGACGTGGGGACCATCAATCAATGCCTGGCACGAGGACAGGGGGACGGACATCAAGCAACCCCTGGCATGAGGACATCGGGGCACCAAGCAAATTCCAGCACAAGGACATGGGGACCATGGAGCAACCCCTGGCATGAAGACATGGGGACACCAAGAAATCCCTGGCATGAAGACATGGGGACACCAGGCAACCCCTGGCATAAGGACATGTGGCACCAAGCAAATCCCAGCACAAAGACACAGGTACACCAAGCAAATCCCAGCACAAAGACACAGGTACACCAAGCAAATCCCAGCACAAGGCCATGGGAACACCAAGCAAAGTCTGGCACGAGGACATGGGGACACCAAGCAACCCACCGATCCCTGGCGCAGGGCATCCTGCACTTGGGTGAGGTCCCTCACGGGGCACCAGACCTCGGCTATAAGGCACTTCTGGGTGACATCAAAGCTGCACTGGTTGAGGACGAGGTAGATGGCCTTCATCTTCTGCACCTGCACCCTCCAGGTGGGCAGGGCCACCGCCACCTTGTCCAGCACCTGCGCCAGGTACTGCTCCGTCTCCTCCAGCACCTATGGGTGCCCAGCATGGGTCAGGGACATGGGGGGTCCCAGTGTGGCCCCCCAGTGTCCCTACAGTCCCCAACTCACCACGCTGAGGTCCTGGATCTGGCTGTGCAGCCCGTTCATGGTCTCCTCCCGACTGGCCTCGCTCTCTGGGTAGGGGTAGACCTGGCAGTGGAAGCTGGGACAGACGGATGCCACCACATTGCGGGGTGCCAGGGCTCCCCGGGGTGGCCCAGCACGTCCCCATGGGGTGGGATGCGGAGTGGGGCTCGCTAAATAAACCTCTCCGTGGTCAGACACGTGGCGTGTGGCCACTGGCTCACCAGTCTGAGATCTTGCGGATCTTCTGCCCGATCTGCTCGCCCCAGTAGGAGATGAGGAAGATGACCCAAGTGATGGTCTCGCCCTGGGGACACCACCACAGCCCATGTCACCATCAACCCCAGCTATCCCGGTCCCTCTTCCCTGCCGGCCCCCAGCCCAGTGACCCACTCACCGTTGCTGGGTCCTCCATGGGCTCAGGCATCTCCACGAAGCTGGCCACCAGGTAGCCACGGCAGGCCCGCCACAGGAGCCGCTCAAAGGCGCTCACTCGCCACGGGTGAATGACGCCGGCCACGAAGCTGTGGGGCCGAGCATGGTTCCGCTCCTGCCCTTGCCCCATGGCCAGGCCCCTGCCCCATGGTTCCTCCCCAGACCTCCTCCCACACCTGTGCCCCATGGCCACACCACTGCCCCACGGCCCACCTCCAAGCCTTACCCATGATTCCTGCCCCATGGCCACGTTGTTGCTCCATGGCCCATCTCCAAGCCTTCTCCCACAGCTTGTTGCTCCATGGCCCATCTCCAAGACTTCTCCCACAGATTTCCCAGCTGCCCCATGGCCAAGCCATCGCCCTATAGCTCATCTCCAATGCTTACCCTACACCCTTACCCACGATTCCTGCCCCATGGACACACCACTGCCCCATGGCCCATCTCCAAGCCTTCTCCCACAGCTTTCCCAACTGTCCCACAGCCCATCTCCAACGCTTACCCTACACCCTTACCCACGATTCCTGCCCCATGGACACACCACTGCCCCATGGCCCATCTCCAAGCCTTCTCCCACAGCTTTCCCAGCTGTCCCACAGCCCATCTCCAACCCTTACCCTACACCCTTACCCATGTTTCCTGCCCCATGACCATGTTCTTGCCCCATGGCCCATCTCCAACCCTTACCCTACACCCTTACCCACGATTCCTGCCCCATGGCCATGTTCTTGCCCCATGGCCCATCTCCAAGCCCATCTCCAAGACCTCAGCCCTCTCCAACAGCCATGCCCATTGCCCCACGGCCACTCCCCTGCCCCACAGCCCCCCTCCACCCCCCTGCTCCCCACTTACTTGATCTTGCGGTCCAGGTGCTGGTGCAGGGAAGGGTCGAGGATGGGCTCACGCTCAGAGGACGCCCGTGGCCGTGTCGGGGAGCCCATGGGGGCCTGCAGAGATGGGGAGCAAAGAGATGAAGTGCTTTGGGGTGCCCTGGGTGCAAGGGACTGGATTTGGGTGGTTTGGGGTCCTCTGGGTGCAGGGGTTTGGGAAGCCATGAGTTGCAGAGGTTGGGTGCAGTGGGGTTGGGGTGTCCCACAGCCCATCTCCAACCCTTACCCTACACCCTTACCCACGATTCCTGCCCCATGGCCATGTTCTTGCCCCATGGCCCATCTCCAAGCCCATCTCCAAGACCTCAGCCCTCTCCAACAGCCATGCCCATTGCCCCACGGCCACTCCCCTGCCCCACAGCCCCCCTCCACCCCCCTGCTCCCCACTTACTTGATCTTGCGGTCCAGGTGCTGGTGCAGGGAAGGGTCGAGGATGGGCTCACGCTCGGAGGACGCCCGTGGCCGTGTCGGGGAGCCCATGGGGGCCTGCAGAGATGGGGAGCAAAGAGATGAAGTGCTTTGGGGTGCCCTGGGTGCAAGGGACTGGATTTGGGTGGTTTGGGGTCCTCTGGGGGGGTGCAGTGGGTGGTTTGGGGTGCCCTGGGTGGAAGGAACAGGATCTGGGTGCTTCGGGGTGCTGTGGGTGCAGGGGTTTGGGGTGCCCTGGATGCAGGAGTCTGGGGTGGACGAGTATTTTGGGGTGCCGTGGGTGCAGGGGGATTGGTCTGGGTGGATTTGGGGTGTCATGGGTGCAAGAGTTGAGGTAGGGTGGGCATTTTGGGGTGCAGTGGGTGGAAGGGAGAGGATTTGGGTGCTTCAGGGTGCTGTGGGTGCAGGGGATGGGTGGAGTTGGGCTGGGTATTTTGGGGCACAGTGGGTGGTTTGGGGTGCCCTGGGTGCAAGGGACAGAATCTGGGCGCTTCGGGGTGCCCTGGGTGTAGGGGATGGGTGGAGTTGGGCTGGGTATTTTGGGGTGCAGTGGGTGGTTTGGGGTGTCCTGGGTGCAAGGAACAGGATTTGGGTGCTTCGGGGTGCTGTGGGTGCAGGGGATGGGTGGAGTTGGGCTGGGTATTTTGGGGTGCAGTGGGTAGTTTGGGGTGTCCTGGGTGCAAGGAACAGGATTTGGGTGCTTCGGGGTGCTGTGGGTGCAGGGGATGGGTGGAGTTGGGCTGGGTATTTTGGGGTGCAGTGGGTGGCTTGGGGTGCAGTGGGTGCAAGGAACAGGATTTGGGTGGTTTAGGGTGCTGTGGGTGCAGCAGGATTGGTCTGGGTGGATTTGGGGGGCCATGGGTGCAAGAGCTGAGGTGGGGTGGGCATTTTGGGGTGCAGTGGGTGGAAGGGAGAGGATTTGGGTGCTTCGGGGTGCTGTGGGTGCAGGGGTTTGGGGGGCCATGGGTGCAGGGAATGGGTGGAGTTGGGGTGGGTATTTTGGCGCGCAGTGGGTGGTTTGGAGTGCCCTGGGTGGAAGGGACAAGATTTGGGTGCTTCGGGGGGCCATGGGTGCAAGAACTGAGGTGGGATGGGTATTTTGGGGTGCAGTGGGTTGTTTGGGGTGCTCTGGGTGGA